AGTCCTCAAGGGGAGTATTGGTCACCCTGGGAGAAGAGAGTTGACTCTACTGGAGGCGATGTATCAATTCACCCAAAGTCATTAGGATGGACCTGAGTGGAGACATTGTATCAATGCACCCAAGGAAAGAGAATGGATCTCAGTGGAGACATTGCATCAAACGACCCTGGCCTACCCTCCAGGGAAGAATTGACTCTCTTGGAAACATTGAATCAAATTATTTAAGGAAAGGAGAAATGACCCTGGTGGAAACATTGTATCAAATATGCCAGGTTAAGGGGGTGTGTGTGTGTGTGTGTGAGACCCCACTGGAAACATTGTATCAGATGGACCCTGCTGGAGACATTGTTTCAAATCCTCCAGGAGAAGAGCATTGACTCTACTGGTAACACTGTTAATCAGGCTGACCCTGGATAATACACTGTATCAAATCCTCCAAGGGACCAGCAGTGACTAGTGGCATCACCAACCCAAGCTGACCCTGGGGGCGACACTAAGTCAAGTTCCCCAGGAGGCCACATTGGGATTCCTGGTCCACAACTGGAGAGTTGAAAGTCTGCCCCAGGCTCACAGGATCTCCCTGGTGTGTGTGCGCCAGTGCTTGACCAGGGTGGAGCTGCGCCCGAAGTCCTTGCCACACTGGGTGCAGTGGTAGGGTTTCTCATGGCGGTGGCTCCGCTGGTGGTCCGTGTAGTGGGAGTTCTGGGAGAAGCCGCGCCCGCAGTCGGGGCAGACGTAGGGCCTCTCGCCCGTGTGGGTGCGCTGGTGGCGGATGAGGTTGGAGCTGCGGCTGAACTTCTTCCCGCACTCGGTGCACTTGTAAGGTTTCTCGCCGCGCTGGGTGCGCTGGTGCTGGAAGAGGTCGGAGCTGCGGCTGAAGCCCTTCCCGCAGTCAGGGCAGATGTAGGGCCGCTCCCCGGTGTGGATGCGCTGGTGCTTGATGAGGTCCGAGCTGCGGCTGAAGCTCTGACCGCAGTCGGGGCACTGGTAGGGGCGCTCCCCGGTGTGGGTGCGCAGGTGCTTCACCAGGTCGGAGCGCTGGCTGAATCCCTTCCCGCACTCGGTGCACGTATTGGGCCGCTCCCCCGTGTGGGTCCTCCAGTGCTGGATGAGGGTGGAGCTGCGGCTGAAGCTTTTCCCACACTCAGTGCACTGGTAGGGGCGCTCCCCCGTGTGCACCCGCTGGTGCTGGGCCAGCAGGGAGCTCCGGGTGAAGCTCTTCCCACACTCGCTGCAGATGGTGGGATGTGCCTCACGGGAAGGGGGTTTCTTGGGGGCTGGGCTGGGCTGGGTGGGTGCCAATGGGGGCTTTTCCCACTGAGATTCCAGGGCTGAAGGGGTTTGTGAGCCAGGAGAGTGCTCAGAGGTTTGCCGCAGGGCTGGAACCTGGGATAAAGTCTCATCGGACAATGGCCCATCTGGGTCCTCTTCTATGGACTCATTCCCACCAGGCAGCATCCCATGTGGATCTTCTCCCATGGAAGCATCCTCATCAGGTGATGCCCCATCTGGATCTGCTCCCACAGGCCCGTGCTGCTGGGAACACTGCTCATCCATCCTGCCACCTGCTGGGAGAAAGAGACTCCAGCCAGGGCTCATTCCCTGGGGTTGCCAGGGGCCCAGTTTTCAACCAAACACCCAGTCGAAAAGGGACCCTCCCCAGCCCGGTGAAAATGAGCCAGAGAGTGAGGGTGGGGCAGAGTGAGCGACCGAGGGAAGGGGGATGAAGTGAGTGGGGTGGGGCCTCAGAGAACGGGGTGGGGCAAGGATGTTCGGGTTTGTTTGGTCAGAAAGTTGGTCTGCTCAGTTGACAAACCCCCCCCCTGGGGCGGCAAAGGGGTTGGTCACTGAGCAGAAAACCTGAGGGGCAGGAAGTTAATTCCCTCAAACACTTCCCCAGTAGGGAGAGGACAGGCTGGTTCTGCCCCAATGGCCCAGCAGAGCCTTCAGAGAAAGGCTGGGGGAGGGGTGGGAGCTGGGAGTAACGCCTGCCGTGAGGACAGGGACCTGCTGGGGACAATACTGAGACAGACCTGGGGGGCTCCCGGCAGCTTTGCTGGCATCCCAGCTGTTCCCTTTACTCCCGGCCACTCTCAGAACCAGTGTCACTCATTGCTCACCTTTGCGGGCACCTTTCAGGCTCTCCTGTTCCTCATCACCCTGGAGATCCGGGACACATGGCTCTTCCTCTGCCTGCATCTCGGCGATCACGGCAGGGACGGGGAATCCGGCTGGCAGGGGAGGAAACAGGTGAGTTTGTTACATCTCCCCAGAGGGCTCGGTACAGAGGCTGCTGCCTGGTTTTGAACCTGGCCTTGTTCTGTGCACACGGGCGGGCGGGGGCAGATCCAAGCTGAGGGGAAATTTCACAAGGGCCCTTCCATAGAGAATCAGTTCTCAGTGCCAGAATGATGGAGTAGTCCTGTCTCCCAGCCCTCCCCCTGCTGTAACCCCCCAGACCCCACTCCCCTCCCAGAGCTGGGAGAGAACCCAGGAGTCCTGGATCCCAGCCCTCCCCCTGATGTAAACCCCCAGACCCCACTCCCCTCCCAGAGCTGGGAAAGAACCCAGGAGTCATGTCTCCCAGCCCCCACTGTAACCCCCCGAGACCCCACTCCCCTCCCAGAGCTGGGAGAGAACCCAGGAGTCCTGGCTCCCAGCCCCTTTGCACAGCTGCGTGGCTGCTTTCCGCCCGTGGGGTTTGCCGCCCCCCATCCCACCCTCGGAAGGACTCGGACTCAGCCCCAGCCCTGCCCCTGCCCTTTGGCGGTGCTCGGGGCTATGTAAAAGCCTCATCCCTGCAGCTGAGCCGCTCTCTACCCCCTTCCCCTGCGGCAGGGGTGCGGGGCCGCCAGCGGCCCCGGGAGGCTAACACCGCTCCCCGCAGAACCCGGAGGGGCAGAAGCTCCGTCCGCTGGGGTCGGGGATGAGGATCCGCTCACCCCGCTGCCAGCAGCTGCTCAGCGGGGACAGGATGCAGTGCGCCGGGCAACCCAGTCCCCTGGAAATCTTCCCTGCCTCATCGTTCCCGCTCCTGGGCTGCCTCCCTCCGCCTGCTGCCCGGGGAAGAGCCCGGACTCCTGAGTTCTCTCCCCGGCTCTGGGAGGGGAGTGGGGGCTGGGGGTTAGAGCAGGGGGGGCTGGGCGCCAGGACTCCTGGGTTCTCTCGTAAAAAAATGACCTGGTTTAATAATGTCTGGGGTTCTAGGAACAGGGGCAGGGAATTTTTGTTTAATACCAGTTTTCTTTTAAATCAGAAAATGCAGCTTTGATAGTTTTCTCTGCCTCTTGTGGCCGGTCCACATGGAAGATAACAGCCTTCTACAGCTGCATGCTAATACTCCTTTCTCTCAAGCAGCAGAGGCCCATGCTGTGGACTGTAAGGGTCTAGGATCAAATCCTGCTGATAAGGAAGCAGGGGAAGCTTTGTGAAACTTGCCTTGTTTGCAACCCAGAGATCGCCCCATTATGTTAGAGCCTGGAAGTGAAATGGATTAGAAACAAAAATGAAATTGACTAGACCCGATTCATTGCCTCACCTGCTCAAAATGCAAAAAGGAAATCATGCAGCCGGCATGAATCCCTCCTGCTCTGCACATTGGATTGTGTCTTATTCTTGTTGCAAAGCAAATGTAAAATGCCCCCATGGGGGTGAGTGATGGATCTGATCTGTTGTGTTTTAGACTCACTTTGCCCAAATGTACCGAAAGGTCATGGAGATTCTCTTCTAATTTAGGCCAGTTCAGCCCTGTAAGGTGTGTTTACTGTTTGTGGAGTAAGAATAGATTAATACATTTTAGGGCAAGAAAGGGCCATTAGGGTCATCTTAATCTGACCTAACACAGGTCAGAACATTTCTCCTAGTAGCTCCTCCATCCATCTCATAACTGCTGGTTGAACTAGATCTTTTGAAGAGAAATGTCCAGTCTTGATTTCGAGTGATAAAACAATCCATCACATTCCTGGATAAACCATGGTTAATCACCTGGACTGTTAAAAACCAGAGCTTTATTTCCTGTTGGAATTCACCTCCTCTCAGCTCCCAGCCTTTCGATGGTGCTATACATTTGCCTGCTAATATTTAATGATATCAACAACTGTGTTTATTTAACAGAAATAATTCCACTGAGCTCGGTTGAAACTGTCCAAGAAAGGCAAAGGCATTTTTATCTAGAGACATTCCACCCCGAAGGATTACGTCATCAGAACAGACACTCATTGGTGATCAGATCCCAAAGACAGGAAATTCATAGAGAGGGAGGTTTCTGTAGGTGCATAGAGAGGGAGCATTTTCTCCCTTCTCTGGGATGAGATGCCCTGTTCCAATGAATATACACCAGATTGGGATGTGCCAATATTTCTCCAGGACTCTTAACTCTGGATTTCCTGGGATTATTAGTGATTAAAATAATCAGTTTTACCAAGGCATCAGTGCCTTGCCATTTTTTAACGGTGAGGGGAATTAACCAGTGGAACAATTTACCAAAGGCTGTGGTGGAATCCCCCATCCCTGGCAATTTTTAAATCAAGATTGGATGCTTTTCTAAAAGATCTTCTCTAGTTCAAACAGGGATTAATTCAGGAAAGTCGTATGGCCTGTGTTATACAGGAGATCAGAGGAGATGATCTAATGGTCCCTTACAGTCTATGAACCCTTCTGTACACTTTATTCCAGTAGTGTCTAGTGATCCCAATTTTGTTCAGGGCCCTTTTTGTGCTGAAAAGGGGGGTCCCAGGTCCAAAAAGGGGTAAGATTAAAACCGTCATTCAACACTAAAGAGTTGAAAGCGGTCTGGGGTTTCATGTCAAATTACTGCTGACTTCATCCCATGGCAACAACAACCAAATCTCTTTATCCTTGAATTAAAGATAGACAAAAAGAAGGAAAAACAGCGAAGGCGGTGAAAAGTAAAGTCTTAAGTCAGGCTTTTATTTTTACCGTCCCCCTTATTCCCTTTCCTTTGAGCTGTAGGGTTTCTTTTTAAGCATGTCTGACAGTCTTTTAGTGGCCAAGAAGTGGTGGCAGCCCCATCCCTTTACCCTTAACCAATCACAACACATTTTGCTGACTGCAGCAATAAACGCTCCCTCCCGACTCTCGGCTCTTTCAGCTCCCTGTCACGCCAGCCAGTGACTGTCCCTGGAGCTTTGCGGAACCCTTCACAGGCTCCCACTGCAGCAGAGGGCCCAACGCTGGCACTACAGAAGCTGCAGCATCGCGTTGCAGCAGAAAGCGGAGGCAATATCTAACGCAGGAATGGCAGTGTCCCATCCCCGGCTCACGGTGCATCCCTGATCTCTACCACCGGGGCGGCCCCCTTGGGTCCCAGGCTCAGCACGGCACCGGTCTCCTCCTCGGCGTGTCCCTGGTGGTGCCGGGTCAGCTGGTGCTTGTGACAGAAGCTCCTCCCGCACTGGGCGCAGCGGTAGGGCCGCTCCCCTGCGTGGAGGCACCGGTGCTGTGCCAGGCTGGAGCTGAGACAGAAGCACTTCCCGCAGTCAGGGCAGCGGAAGCGGGTCTCGCCGGCATGGGGGCGCTGGTGCTCGATCAGGTTGGAGCTCTGGCCGAAGGCAGCACACAGGTAGGGCTGCTCGCCCATGTGGGTGCGCAGGTGAGTCACCAAGTGCGGCTTCTGCCGGAAGCTCTTGTCGCACTCGGTGCAGCCGTAGGGCCTCCCGGAGCCCTTGCTGCGCCCAGGGGCCCTCCCACGCTCCCTGGGCCGAGGCGGCCTTGCCACGGCCGAGGGCTCGAAGAGGATGCCCAGGAGCCGGCCGAAGCCTCGCTCCTGGCGGCCAGATGTAGCAGATCTGCCAGGCGGGGGCACCTCCTGCCCTCTAGCACCAAGGGCCCCCTGCTGGCTCCCCCAAGTCCTGCCCGGGCTAGAGTTCTGCATGGCCCACTTCCGGGCTATCCCCGGGAAGGTCTGCTGAGGTTCCAGCCTCTTGAGGTTTCCCTGGATGGGATTCTCCTGGCTCCGCCTCCAGCGCCTCTCGCCTGCTGGGAAAGGAATAGAGATTCAGAGAGGAAGGTGTAAACGGGCAGAGCCCCATTACCGACTCCTGTGGAGCAATGTTGATTTACACCCTCCGGGCATCTGGCCCCACTGATTTTAGGCCAGAAGGGGACCATAACATGATCATGGAGTCTGATGTCCTTCAGGGAACACATTGAGGAAATTTCACAGAGTGATTCCTGAAGAGAATCCAGCCGGGACTTGTTCCCTGCGCCGGGGAGAGAGGGGTCAGTAAAGGGGTTGGTCACTGAGCAGAAAACCTGATGGGCAGGAAGCAAATCCCCCCAACCCCTTCCTCAGGGCTGCCCCAAAATCCCAGCTGAGCCCTCAGAGAAAGGCTGGGGGAGGGGAGGGCTCCTGCCAGGGGTGGGATCCAGGAGAGACACCTGCTGTGAGGACAGTGACCTGCTGGGGACGATACAGAGCGAGTGGAGACAGACCTGGGGGGCTCCTGCTGGCTTGGCTGGGATCCCAGCTTTTCCCTTCACTCCCAGCCGGTGTCCCTCATTCCTTACCTGTGCGGGTGATCTCGCTTTCCTCAGAGCCCTGGAGATCCGGGACCCTCGGCTCTTCCCCGGGCTCCATCCAGGAGATCACGGCCGGGTCTGGGACGGGGAATCCTGCTCGGGGAAAGGAAACAGGCGAGATGGGGCTCGGTGAAATCTCCCCTAAGGGCTTGGTGCAGAGAACGCGCCCTGATTTTAATCCCAGCCCCGCTCTCTGTGGGGGGACATGGGATCAGAGTGGAGGGGGAAAGTTCACAGGGACCCCTGTGGGCAGGTGGGCTGTGCCCCCTGTGAGGGAGTCAGAGCTCTGCATTATGCTCCATGGGGCAGGGATTGTCTCTGTTCTGGGTCTGTGCAGCGCCAAGCACAGTGGGGGCCCGGCCCATGACTGGGTTTCTTAGGCATTACCGTAGTACACCTAATAAATAATGTACAGTGCCCAGCACAATGCGGTCCTGGCCCGTGACTGGGGTTCCTAGGGATTACCATAATACACTTAATATATAAGGTGCTAGAGCCATATAAATACAATACATCTTCTCAGTGGTAAGAGGTGGGGGTCTGGCAGGGGCCACGCCCCCAGAAATCTATAGGGCTCAGGAAGAATCATAAGCGGAAGCCGCCCTGGGTGCATAAGCCCCCCCACCCCACCCACACACACATCCCCAGGGCGCAGGGGCACCAGCGCCTCACCCAGCGAGATCAGAGTCTGGTAATTCTCCTGCATGACGTCCCTGTAGAGCTGCCTCTGCCCTTCGTCCAGGAGCCCCCACTCCTCCCGGGAGAAATACACGGCCACCTCCTCGAACCCCACCGGCGCCTGGTGAGTGATTACAGGACAGACAGTGAAAACAATGCTGTTCACATGCTCTCTTGTGTAACTCCCCAAATGCCACTGCAGTGACCCCAGATAGTCCCCAACCTGATCTATCCCGTCCCCGCTGCCCTGAGCCAGCCGGTCCCCCTGCCCTGGGGCTGGATTGGAGCTGGCGCCCCCTAGAGGGGAAAGGCCTTGTGCCCCATTGCCCTGAGCTAGCCAGCCCCCCTGCCCGGGGGCCCAGAGCGGTTCTGATTGCCCAGTGGGGTGAGGGAACATTTCTAACCCCACTGCCCCACTCCATACTTATTATTAACCGGGTTTGTTACAGTAGTGCCCAAGGGCAGAGCTCAGGGAGTTTCCTACCGGGGCTGCCATCCCCCCGGCTGTCTGGTTCTCTTGCTGGGGGGAGTGTATGGGTGGGGGGGTCCTTCTCCCCTCCTCACTCTCTCTGCGGATCTCGCTCTTCCTCTCCGCTCCCTTCCTGTGCATCTGCCCCCCAGCGGGGACACACTGGGGGCCCAGCCCGCCTCTGTCCTTTGGGGGCAGCCCTGGGACCCTGTGTCCCACAGCAGGGCAGACTAGATGAGCACAGCGCTCCCTCCCTTCTGGCCTCTCCCCTGAGGACCCAGGAGTCCGGGCAATCAGCACCGTTATAAACACCATCCCTGGGAAAACATCCCAGCCGCTGCCGGTTCCTGGCGCAGACTGGCTCCGGTTCCAGCCTCCCTGCGCCGCCCGGCTCCGTGCCCCGGGGCCCCCCGCTCCCGGAGCCAGCCGCGGCGTGGGGGCAAGGGGCTAGGCGGGGCTGCGCTGCTGGGCCAGCCGGGCTGGAGCCTCGGGAGGAACCAGGGTGCCCAGAGGAAGGATTTCCCGGGAACACCCAGCCTAGAGGCTCCCGCACTGGAGCCGCAGATAGGATCCCATCATCCCGGGGAGTCATTAGCCCAATGCCCTGCCCCCCTTAGCAGCCTCCGGAGCAGGGAATCAGGACTCCTGGGTTCTAGCCCCAGCTCTGGGTGGAGAGGGGCTGGAGGCCTAAAGGGTTAGAGCAGAGGCTGGGAATCAGGATTCCTGGCTTTTAGTCCCTTTGTTCCCTGCAAGGGGCACTGCCCCTCTCTCCCCAGAAATCTCACGGCCTCCAGGGGACCCCCGTGAACTTTCCCCCCCTGCTTGGATCCAACATCCCTCCACTACAGAGAACAGCCTGGGGTTAAAATCAGGGCACGGTCTCTGTACCAAGCCCTCAGGGGAGATTTCACCAAGCGCCCTCTCCCTCGCCTGTTTCCTTCCCCACCAGCAGGATTCCCTGACTGGCCCGTGATCTCCCGGATGGAGCCAGGGGAAGAGCCGAGGGTCCCAGATCTCCAGGGCTCCCAGGAAAGGGAGATCCCCAGAGGTGCCCACCCAGGTGAAGAATAAGCAGCACTGTCTCGGAGTGAAGGGGAAAGCTGGGGTCCCAGCCAAGCCACCGGGAGCCCCCCAGGTCTGTCACATCTCATTCAGTCTCATCCCCAGCAGGTCCCTGTCCTCATGGCAGGTGTCACTCCTGGATCTCCCAGTTCTACGCTGTTGGGTCTGATGGCCTCTGCTCCTCTGTCCTTGAAATTATTGTGCAGTGACACTTTTATCAACAGAGGACGGAGGGATGTGTCTGCAGCCTTAACAAAGTTCTGTCAGATATTTATTTTTCAGGACCACGGTCTTAGCTGGGGTAAATCCACTGTAACAACACACATGGATCATGGGTCACGAACTCTAGCACCTTTGGAGCTCACAGCCTGAGATAGTAGATACTGTTTTCACCTCTCAGCTCACCACCTGAGCAAAAACAGGTTAGCTCACAGGTTCATAAACCTTTTACTTCACCCAGCCACTAGAGGGTGATAAAGACCTGCACTGTTTAGTCATGGTGGATGACACCCACGGCAGATGTTCTTCTATCCCTTAATTTCATCTTTAGGCTGCACTGCGAATGGAAGGTCTGAAGGTGAAATCAATGGACAGACGTGAGCTTCTCATTACAGTTGATTGGGAATTGTTTTGACATTCTCCCCCCCCCCCCCAAAAAAAAACCACCAAATCCTCAAAACCGAAACTATTTGCAGGCAAGGTGGGTTTTAATAAACTTCCCCACTAGGAAAGAGCGTAGAACGTCTTGAAGAAGTCCCCCTTTGACATTTTTTAAGCAAAAAGCTTTGGGTTTTTTTGGTTCCAAATGACTTCACGGAATTTAATGTATACTAAAAAACCTAAAATAAAAAAGGAAAAATAAGGTCCAAGTTGAAACAAAACATTTCAAAATGATTTTGAAACCTGAACACATTTTTTTTCCAGTTTGTCGATTTGCAAACATCTTTGAGATTTCAATTTTTTGTCCCTATTCAGGACAGGAAAGTTTTGCAAAATCTTGAACATTTTGGCTGGGAAGAAAAACCATTTTCCACTCAGTCCGACTTCTGATAGCACATACCCAGAATGCTTTCTAAGGACTTCTCATTGACAGACATGGCTATTGCATGCACCTGGGGTTTTACTTTCTTTTTGTGTCTGTTTTTGCTAGCATGAATCAGTGTTTTGTATTGACAGGATTACTACTAAAATATGCATTTAAAAAAAAAAAAAAAGAAGGAGAGAGGTCTTTTTTTTTTTCCACTGTGAAAATTTTTACTAGGGTTCCATTTCAACCAGGGAAGTCATTAAAGGTTATAATAAAACTCAGTGAAGTGTTCCTGAATCATCTATGAGATACACTGACGAGTGCGTGTGAGGATGGATGGATAGCTAGCTAGCTAGATCTGGGTTCTAGAATCTGTCTATCCATCCCTTTACACAACCATCCATCCCTGTACACATCTAATCTATCTATCTTCATCTCTAGATCCTCATTTGCTGATCCAGCTAATGCAGTGGTTCTCAAACTTTTTTCTGGTGACCCCTTTCACATAGCAAACCTCTGAGTGCGACCCCTCTTATAAATTAAAAACAGTTTTTATATATTCAACACCATTATAAATGCTGGAGGCAAAGCGGGGTTTGGGGTGGAGGCTTACAACTCGGAACCCCCCCATGTAATAACCTCGTGACCCCCTGAGGGGTCCCGACCCCCAGTTTGATTACCCCTGAGCTAATGTATCCAATCTGTCTAATACAGATAAATCTGAATGCTAGGATCTATCTATCTATCTATCCCTTTACACACCCACCTATCTACAGATGGAAAGTGATATATAAGAGCTGGGTATTCTTTCTCTCTCACTCTCTCCCTCCCATATGCACAGGAACGGCTCCAGGGTTTTTGCCGCCCTAAGCAGCAGCGCTCCTCCTCTGAGCATTCGGCAGCGGGGGTCTTTCCGCTCTGCGTCTTTGGGGCACTTCGGCGGCGGGTCCCGGAGCAAGTGAAGGACCCGCCGCCGAATTTCTGCCAAAGACCCGGAGTGGAAGGACCCCCCGCTGCCAAATTTTCACCGAGGACGGCAAAATGCCGCCCCCCAAATCCTGCCGCCCTAGGTGACCACCTAGGGTTGCCTAGTGGAAGCGGCGGTCCTGCATATGCACACCTCTCTCTCTCTCCCTCTCGAAGCCTTCCCTCACTGTGGTCTCCGAACACCTCTTAGCCCAGTATTTTGATATTTAAACACCCCCTCTCTCCCCGGCACAGGAAACGAGCCCCGGCTGGATTCTCTCTCTCACACAGCAGGGGCTGGGATGGAGGAGGAGAATCGGCAGCAGGAAGGGCCAGCGGGAGCAGAGCTGCGTGAGACATCCCAGAGCTCTGAGCAGGGAGACCCCCCGGGGGAGAGACATGCTCAGCAGGGGCCAGGCTTCTGGAAAGACAAGTCAGGCGAAAAACCCTACACGTGCCCCTCCTGTGGGAAGAGCTTTAGCTGGCGCTCCCACCTGGCCATCCACCAGCGCACCCACACGGACGAGCGCCCTTACCGATGCACCGAGTACAGGAAGAGCTTCGGCCAGAGCCACCGCGCTGATCCAGCACCAAGGCACCCACACATTCCAGGTGCTATTTGGGATTGAATCGGTAGAGATGGCAATGTCATCTGGGTCCCTCTCTGTGGCCTGGCCTGGTCAGGACATCTTTCAGGATCAGGACGACAAAGGTCCAGGGTACGAGGAGACGGTGGGGGTGGCATCTATCACGGCGAAGCACCTCCTTTGCCTTCTCTTGTCTTGACGTCAGCCAGCGTCATGGTAGGCAGCTCTTCCAAAACTCTTTTCTCCTTAAGGACCCCAGAAGGAGACTGATGGATGGAGCAGCTCATCTTCTCATTGTTTTGCCCACTAATTAGGCCTAATTTCTGAGATACCAATTTGGTCCATTGATTTCCAGTTCCTCATGCCTCTTTCTTACCAGACATGATCATAACACAGTTCTTGAGTTATATCAACAGGCCTTTCTGTGTTTGGACTAACTCAGCCTTTCCATCTCTCTTTTGTACCTTTTCCCCTCCGCATTTGTCGTTATGGGTTACTCTGACCGTTTATAAACTGTCACATGCTTTGTACAGGTGAGCTCACCATTAGGGTACATTTACAGGCCCAGTTATCACCACAGGAATTAAACATTGGACCAACTTACCAAGGACCATGGTGGATTTGCCATCACTAGCAATTTTTAAATTGAGACTGGATGTGTCATTCTAAAAGGTCGGCTTGGGTCCAAACAGGAATTAATTCAGAGACATTCTCTGGCCTCTGTTATGCAGGAGGTCAGACCAGATGATCACAATGGTCCCTTCTGGCCTTGGAATCAATATTAGTATAGGACTAACCTAGGTTGTAACCCAGGTTGTGCCCCAACACTCCTTCCATCCGCACACGCTCCCTCTCACCCAAGTTCAGTGGTGCTTCCAACCCAGGCTGGATGGCCCAGCTGGGGGTATGGCTTGAAGCCCTGGTGAAGCTTTCACTGAGGCTGGTCACCGGCCCACTTTGCAGTGAGGACACAGGCTACACCCACCGAGTGCTGATAGTCCTCCAGTGCCTTCCCACAACTCCCTCGTGTGCGCGGAAGCACAGACAAGTTCTCCCATGATGCACTGGGAAAGAATCCTAGAGTGTCTCAGCTTAGTGCAGCACAAAGCACCATGGGACATGCCCCCCAAAAGTCCGAGTCACACGCGTGGAGGAAGGCAGCACCGGAGAGGATGCAGTAACTCGGGCAGGGCTTTGCAGTGTGGAGTGAATCCCTGTGCACCCCAGAGGCGGTCACATCTCAGTGCTGGGCGAGGGGCCTCGGTGTGTACACTGCTTTGTGCTCCATGGAGCTGGAAGGCAGTAGGGAAGGAGCCAGGCTTAGCGTTAGAGCTGAGCTCTCTGGCTGGATTTGCCTTTTGGGGAAGCATCAAGCGGAGGCGCTGAAGACTGAGATGGATGAAATGACACCGCTGATAAAGCAGGAGATCTCCGCCTGGCTGGAAAGAACCAGCTGTCCCCATTCAAACTGGTTTTCCCTGTCACAGAGCCGCAGGATCGGTGCTATGGTCCCTGCTTTAGAACAGCCTCTGGGAGGATCCCTTCAGTGAGCCAGACACCCAGTGGTCTCACTCTTCCTCCAAGCTAAGCCATGTGGCTTCACCGCCTCCTTAGGCTGGTGCTCTGGGCCTTCAGCTCTCCTGCTTCACACCATCAGCTCTGTTCAGTAGGGTGACCAGATGTCCCGCTTTTATAGGGGCAGTCCCGATTTTTGGGTCTTTTTCTTATATAGGCTCCTATTACCCTCCACCCCCGTCCCGATATTTCACACTTGCTGTCTGGGTTTATTAGTCAGCTGGAACATGGCATAGGAAGTTTGTGGTTAGAAGAGAGAAGTGAAAGTTAAAGCATAGGCAATTCTGGGTAGGCAGAGCTCAGCCAAGCTGTATTGACCCCCATTGTTCAAATTCTGTCTGTCCCTGCATCTGATCTCCTTTGTTAGATTCCCAAGATGTGCCCCCGACTTCTTCCCGCAGCCCACACTTAACTTCCACCTCACCCCTCACATCCTCTGTTCTCGAGCTGGGGAGATGCGGCTCAGACCCCTGCTGAGAGGCGGAGAAGTCCGTATCTCTCTGGGTCTTTGGTAGCCAGGTTTCAATGTTCCAGGGATTGGATCTGTCATTGTCTTCTCATGAGCCGCATTCATGTGGAACCTAAGACCCCAGCCAGTGAGGCACCATTCACACCTGGGTCTGAGCCTATCCCAAGAGCAAACAGTCACTTTTCACCCACTAGGTAACACTGCAGAGGATAGGGGAAACTGAGGCACGCATAGGCGTCATAAAATCATTACAAATATTCCCACTTTTCACATACCCCATCGCCAGTGGCAAACCTGGTATCTGAGAGCCCCCTACAGGCCTTGAAGATACGGGAGGTGAAAAATGGCTGGGATTTCATTCAAGTAAAGACCCTGTCCTCTGTTCAGATTAAAGTATGTGGGGTCTGGGAGCCAGGACTCCTGGGTTCTATCCCCACCTCAGGGACAAGAATGGGGTCTACTGGGTTAGAGGAGGGAGAAGGGACTGGGAGTCAGGACTCCTACGTTCTATACCCACCTCTGGGACAAGAATGGGGTCTAGCGAATTAGAGCAGGTGGGGCTGGGAGCCAGGGCTCCTGGGTTCTATCCCCACCTCAGGGACAAGAATGGGGTCTAGTGGGTTAGAGGAGGGAGAAGGGACTGGGAGTCAGGACTCCTAGGTTCTATACTCACCTCTGGGAAGGGACTGGGGTCTAGCGAATTAGAGCAGGTGGGGCTGGGAGCCAGGACTCCTGGGTTCTGTTCCCAGCTCTAGGAGGGGAGTAGGATCTAGTGGGTTAGAGCAGGGGGTGGCTGGGTCTCCTGGCCTAGGGAGCTGGAGTCTATAAAGTTTGAATTCTCTCCACATGCCGACAAGCTGCACTGTGTGTTCACGTCACTGGTGAGGCAAGCTGTCCTGAGGTCATTGCCCCGTGGAAAGCAATTGCTGTCTGTCAAAAGAGCTAAGTATTAATATTTGCCTTTCCCTCTCCCCCCAGGGGGCTGTGACCTGTACCTCAGAGGGGGAAGCCCCTAAGTAAATGTA